GCTTATGTTAAAAACATTAATTTGTCAAATATACATGTTTAAAATATACTGCAATTGTTATAATCCTGTTTAGGTCTTTCTTCACTTCTGTATACACTAAGGCCCAGAAATGGGAGGTGCCCTGGGCCTCTTTCTTGAGCTCCGAGAGGCCCTGCACCTGAACCAAGTCCTAAAAGGAAGGATGTTCCCTTCTGAGGAACAGCATGTACAAAAGCACAGAGGAGCTGGTGAGCATGCACCCACGAGCAGCTGCATTACCTCAGGGTGGCTGCACTTTACAGTGTGAGGTGAGTGGGGGCGGGAGGCAGGCTAGGAAGCAGGGAGACCTGGGGGGGCCTCAAAGTCCAGGCGAAGGGGTGGGGAGCCTCTTCATGGAAAGCTGCTCAGAGGGGAGCCCATGGTCAGATCTGGGGTCTCTCCTGCAGCAAGCTCCTTCTTTATAGGAAGCCCGATTCATTGGGTGGGGGGTAGGAGGCGGGTATGCAGGTGGCCGCAAGGTCACTGTGAAAGCCTCAGAAGGAGAGTAAAGAAATCTTTCTGCCTGGCACCAAAGGCGGACAGACCTGAACTTGAAAATGCCTGAGTCAAGCCTGTAGACCAGAGATCAGGTGCCGTTTTCCTCACGTACTATCAAGGCTACACTGTGCGCACGACTGATCGCTGTGGATGTTGACCTTGATCCCCTGGCTGAGGCGTGCTTGTCAGGTTTCTCCACTGTAAAGTTACCTGTTTTTGCTCCCTTTCTGTACTGTCGTCTTAGGGAGGAAGTCGCTCTGCAGCCCACACTGAGGAGGCGGGAGCTGAGTTCCATCTCCTTGAGGGCAGCGCATTCACACGCATGGCGTGGAATTCTACACGGGAGATTTGCCTACACTCCAATTTTTATGCATTTTTACCAGTGTTTTTATGCTGGGTCTTTTTACTGTTTAGAAGTTCAAGAACCCTACTGGTATTTCCAGGGACCTACAAATATTTTATTCCAATTACTAAAATGCATGAAATTACCAAGGCATTAAATTGGAAGGTAGGGAAGAAGCCAATAATTATTTTTATTTTTTCCTATTGTCGATACACTTTAATGAGAGACTTGGAAATACCAAAAGTAGAACCTTTCTAGTCCCACTGCTCAGAGGTGACTATTATTCACATTCCGTTTATTATTTTTTAATTTTTCTCCTGCACACAATTTCTACACGGATTATACTATGTAATTTTGTTTCCTGCCTCTTCGCACCTTATTTTTTACTTATATCAAAAGCATTTCTCCTATGTTGCGATGCAGACTTCACAGCCATATTTTTTAATAGCTGCTAAATATCCCCTCACGTGACTCACAGTGCCCCCCCCCCCATTTAGCTCAATGCCTAGCACGTAGTCAGTGTATGGAAATAATTTGTTGAATGAATGAATATATGACAAAGTAATCACTCTCCTGTTTTTAGAAATGTAGGTTATTTCAGTTTTCTTAATTCTAAGTAGTACTGAGACAAATAGATCATTCCCTCAGGATCGCATCCCACAGTAGAATTACTGGGCCACGGGGGCCAAAACTTTTCAAGATAAATGCACCGAACCAGAAATCTCCCTCCCCCTCCCTCTGCACCACCAGCAATTGTGCCCAGGGTAATAATTTACAATTGATTAAAGAGTTTGTAGGGTGTTTTTCCCCATCATTTTCCCCCTCCTCTCCGCGCCCCCCTCCTGCCAAAAAGGGGAGAAATTATCTGAGAAGGTGAAGATGTTCTCAGACAATCATATTAACATATTCCAACAATCGCAATTTGCCAAATAGTAATCACAACTCCCGGGATCTGGGAGGCATTAATCAAAGCGGCAGGTTTAATTCCATTTTAAATATTGATGAAATGTGCTTGGGATGCCTCACCCTGGCGTGGCAGGGCCCGGAGCCTGCGGGCCAGGGGAGGCGGAGGGAGGGTTGGTGAGCAGCTGCGGGCAGGGGAGGCATCTGCGATTCAAATTGGTGGCTGTGCAGCCAGGTAGAGAGTGAAAGGGGTAGTGAAGAGGGCTGTTAAGTCCATTGCTGTCAATTTGTAACGATCAGGGAGGGGCCGAGGACTGGTTCTGCACAATACCCCCGGTTTGTCTGGTTTCAGGGGTTACCACTGAAGAGGTTGCAGCTGCACTGAATCGAATAGCCTGGAGACTTCAGAACTGTAATTACCAACCAGGCTGCTTGCGGTGTGGTGGTAAAAGTGGGCTTCACCAGCGCTTAACTCCTTGTGTGCCGCCTTCCCCCCCCT